TTTCAAAAGTTCAAGCTTTGCTAGTTCTAAATAAAATCTAGTGGCAAGGTGCCACTGTACTAAACAAAAAAGCTGCAGATCACAAGTAGAAAAACAATGTTCTTTTACATTGGAAACAGCCAAACTGATTGTGGTAAGGTGCAGTTGTTGCAGAACTAGCTGACAGTAAAGCAGGCTACAGTAATGCGCCGTTACGTTAGAATTGTCGGAAAATGTAGCTGCTTGCTATAATGTGCCGTTGCTGCAAAACAAACTGAAACAAACTAGCTTTTTTAACAATTTTATCAACAAAATCACAAGATACCTGCTTAACGTGGACGCCACAACCCACCTAGGACTACTGTTGAGCTACTTCAGTTTTCACCACTTTTACAGGACTGGATTATTACGCATACTCACAGACAGAGTATGGCAAGCCAAACAGGTCAAAAGTGTTGTTTTATAAAACCACTTGTTGAAATATAGTGTTTATTTCTTGAGATGAAGAAATTGATGTGGGAGACAAAAATTGATGTATGAGACGAAAAATTGACGTGAGAAAGGCAAGAAAAATTTCTTATCTCAAAAAAAAAGAAGATTGAATTCGTAAGCAGTCCATTAAAAAATATGGAACTGCATATGCCACAATTTTGATTTTTTTGCCACCTCCGTTAGAATATAATCAAAACATTGACCTAAGATTAATGTATTTCCATCTTTTTTAGTTCAATAAATCAAAATGGATGATGGCGAAGACGAATTAAGAGAATTTTTTGATACTTTAATTGAAATCTTCCACAAAGTTGACAAAGCTACAAATTTATAGATTCCATTCAGCTAGAAATCTGCGAGAGGAAAGTTGGCGACAGCCTTTGAATAATTGTAGAATTTTGCTCTGATTTGCGTGAACCGGATGAGGAATTTACGCTGAGAAATTTGCTTTGGCAACTAGTCGACACATTTAAAGAAAAGCTGCATATAATTAGAGACAATTGAAGCGTTTTAGATAACACGTAATTTACTGAACATATTCTGGGCGTGTCTCAATGTACCGGATTAAGACCTGCATAACCTATCGCAACATCTCAAATATAGCAGCTCCATGAATTAGGGACGAAATACAGAGAGATTTCAGAACCTCTACGGATACGTGACAGCACTTTGTATCACTCTAGGTTAGAGTTGAATATTTCTGAGACATTTGCATCTATGGAAGACAATGTTCTGGACTGCCTTATAAATAATATGTTATAATCAACACTTTACAGTCGTGAAACCTATATTTAAGGGGCTCTAAAAAGCAGAAGAATCAATATTCAAAGAGCTATAATTAGAGAGATTTTCATTCGTGTAGACCCTGTTCGAAGGGCTATAAGACAGCAAAACCAATTGTCAAAACAGTTTACAATGTAAAAACCCCAAAACCTGTGGCACATCGACTGTAATCATAAACTTATATCTTGGCGCATTGTTATGCATGGCTAAATTGATGGTTTTAGTCGGGCCTCTATTAACCTTCAATGTTGTACCAACAATAAAGAACAATCAGTCTTGGAATATTTTAAATGCGTTGTAGAATAGTATGATTCTCCTAAGAGGATGCGTAGAGATCGTGGAATGGAAAATGTGGAAGTCGCAAAATACATGGTTTATCAGCGTGGGTTGAACAGAGGAGCTTCATTGCACGAGTAGCGTTTACATTGAAAGGATTGAAAGCCTATGGGCTGAAGTGAATAGGTTAATTCAGCTGTTTACATTGACTTTTTTCGTTATCGTGAGGATTGTGGACTCTTGGGCTCTTTAATAACTACTCCTCTATGCATTGCGTTTTGTATATTGTTGAGTGCCAGTTTGTACAACATTGCAATCATGATCCCAAAGGTTTTTAACAGGGTTGAGTTTATTGTTGATATCAATATCAAAAAAAATTTTGAAAGTAAACATGGAATGCACAAAATATATTGAGTGTGCATAAAACTACAAAGAAAATTTAGCAAAAAATTTAGATTTTGCTACACGTATCAAATTTTAAGGATAGGAAGTACTACACATGTACGAGGTGACTTCGTCAGGAGATGACAAAGAAAGGCTGTGTGAATCAAGGATTTCAGCTTTTGGTCTGACAAAAAAGGCCTTCTTTGAATATATGATGTACCATAATACCATGCAATTTTTAATTTGGCTGCTGACCACTTCTTTGTGAAATTCAAGTCCTGATAGAACATTTCCATGTGCAGACAACCATACTCGACACCTTGTGTTGGGACAAACTTGTCTTATTGCTTACCTAATAAAAACACATCGCATAGAAATGGCCCACTTAGCCCCATAGGTCTTTTTCCTTTATTATTTCTCGTTAATCTTCCTTGGAAATTTCATTTTAAAGAATAGAAGGTGATTGAATTTGAACTTCTGGAAGAATGCAACTAAGCTGGTCGATTGAAACCTCTAAAAACCTCTTTATGAACAGATGCTGACTGGTGGTTGTTGACCAAACTGTTAGCAAAAAATTTTTGGCCATGCTCTTGTCAACACAACTCGGCTTTCAAAATTCTCTCCTCGGAGTCCCTTTTCAAAGGGAAATTGCGAGAGATAAGTCATTCGAAATATTACTTCGTGAACATTTTACTGTTATTGGCAAAGTGAAGAAATAAGAGTTTTAAAGTAAGGAAATTGACATTTATGCATGCGTATTTTATATGGAAACTATGTAGTCTCTTAGATAACGACAAACAATCCTCAAAACATATACATGATCACGTTGTGATGCCATTTTACTCATACAGCACATATATTGATATTCATATGTAACATAATACAAACTAAAATATGCGGGGATGCGTGCGATTTTAAATTTTTTGATTATATTTTAGATTAAATGGGTTTTTTTGAGAAAACTTATGCTTACGATTTTTCAATGACCTTTCCCAAATCGCTGGAAATCGCTCCTCCTAAAGCAAAAATTCAAACATTTCCTCAGGGAGCATGCCCCCTAGCGACAGTTCACGCCCTTCATCGTCAATGACGTGAAGAGAAACATTAAATCCCGAGGACAATAGGCAAGGCTAGCAATGTCACTGGCCTTATATGATATCTCCTTCGGCAGCATATATAAGTATGGAAATATATGATAGATTATAAAGATAGTGTTTTGTAATGTTTTGAATGTACACAAACTGCAAATCACTTATATAGAAAATTACTTGCGGGATTAAGTTTGGTCATGCCTTTGATAATTTGCATAACCGGATGACGTAAAATGTCGTGTTTTACCATGCTCAGAGGCTCTTATCCAATCAGAATACAAAAATATTTTTTGATAGCATGACCGATTTACGCTTATAAGTGTAAAATAAGTTTTAGTTTACGCTTTTACCTGGTAGCAAGATAAATCTTAGTAGAATACTTTATTAAGACGCAAAAAGCCATTCTTTATTTGATTTTCGTTCCAAAATGTTATATGTTAATAAATTAATCTCAAAGAAACAATCAGTCATCATAAATCTACAATGACTCTAATAAGTTTTTGTTTGAAATAATTTTTGTGGAAAGTTTTAGTCATGCTGAGCATGACCAGCATGACCGCTAGCTACGCCAATAATTTCGGACGTAGCGTGATAGCTATTTTTGTGTATTCTGTAATTAAAATTATTTAAAAATATTCATGACAATTAAAATGCTCCTTCAAAAGCACGTTTATTGCTTATTTACCTCATAAAACAGACTAAAGTGAGCATCATTTTCAGAAAATGGACAATGTTTTCCTAAACATTGAATTTTATTTTGAAATCGAATTTTATTTTGAAAATGGCAGCATTTGCACTTTTGTGTTTTTTTAATGGACTGGATACGAACTCGACCATTATTCTTTTTCGTAAAGCAAATCTTTCTCGCACATCAATTTCTTTATCTCAAGACATAAACACTGGATGTCAACAAGCGTTTTTTAAAACAACACTTTTGACGTGTTTGGCTTGCCGTTACAGAGCATTATTAAAAGCACCATTAACGGCTTTTAGCAGGAAAAGAAACATCACGTTGATTTTATTAAACAACTCGTTCTAGCTTTACTTTACCAATAAAACAGTCAAAATATATTTCCATGACAACAATAATATTAAGTTCAAAGCTAAAATAAAAACATCCCATTTAACGACCATCACAAAAAATTACGAACATCATTCGCGACACACACAACACAGACTTACAAACATTATGAAGCATTTCTGCAATGACATTAACATCGTACTAATTTTTACTTCATTCAAACAGAAAATTGCCTTTCATCGAAAGATCCTACTCCACATTCTGTTAAATCTCTAGTGGTATACTTATTCGATCGTGCGAGCGATGATGTAATTCACGCGAACGGAAAACAACCCCAAAAGTGACAAAAACTCATGTGTTTATCGACACCCTTTTAACATAACCTTTATTCCATAATTATCCTCTTATTTTCAAATTATTGGCACTGCCGATATTGCTTTCTCGACGAAGCACTTCACATGCATAAACAAAACTGACTCTAATCTTAAACTTTAATTTTTTCACTCTATTTATTTTGTAAATAAACTCATCATTTGCTCCAAACAATATTTCATTGGAATATTTATACAGAAGCTACTAACAATGGTAGAAACTATCATACTATATATATCTATTATATGCATAATATTCGCTACTATACTGAAAAAAACGTGTATTGATACAGAAATAGACAAGATACAAGCACCGTGTCAAGCATGGTATAATAAGTGATGCTTGTATAGTTTTCTGAATTTTCTTATTTTTAAAATCACTAAGCTGGTTTGTTTTAATAGTCTTCCTTATGATAGAGGGTGTTTCTATTTGAAATTAGAAGAAAAAAAACATTGTGTAATATTTACTTTTCATGACATAAAAAACAATGCACGTTGTAGCTGCAACAAACAATTTTTTAAAATCTATCTATTTATGGTAATATTTTTGTATATAAACACTTTTTTAACTGAGAGAAATATTATGAGACTCTAAAGTTTTACCTGTTGTGTGTAAAACCTCCAGGCAGTGTTGTGTCTAAGTCCTTGACGGATTGCTGTTGTAGTTTTCCAAACAAATGTTGCATTGGTTTTGAGCTCCTTTGTACGGTTCTGCAACACAACTATTACATCATCAACAAGCTTTTTAAATGTCGTAAAATTAACACTTCGTACGTAATGAAGTCCAAAGTTTAACATAAACACGTTTTCCTTTCTTTTTATTAGTTCACTTCCTAGAACCTTTTTTATGTAATATATGACAATGTTGGGACGAAAGTCGTAGTCGTCCATTTTTAAAAACTCAGTGTTTCCAATAGGATATATCCATTGGCGAAAAACTCTGCAAGCTTTGAATGAAGACCTACAAACATCTTTTCGTTTAATAGAACCCCAAAAGCGGAAAGAAACAGAATCTCCATATATAAACAGGTATCCTTTGTTGACTTTTTTTGGTCGTGTTTTAGAAACTTCCAAATTGATATTCCATTCATCTTAAAATAAACAAAGTTCATCAGAATCAAACCAAAATCATTGCATTGAGGTAAATGCAAGTGTCATGAGATTTTTCTTCTTTGTGCCATAATACTATATGCTGGCACGTGCGAAAATAATAGATTACTTCATGGTTAGTGAGTTATTACGATTTTTATGCACCATTTGAGAAGTATTAAAAACAAACTAGTGAGCGTAGTGAATGAGTGCACTTCTTACGAGTGTACTTCCAAACAAGTGCAAGACAAAATTATAAAAACAAACCAACCATGAAGCAATCTTTTATCATACCTGTATTTCATTTTAAATTATAGTGAAATTCCTCGTTGAAGCGTTAAACACAATTCAAACGCTTCAAAACAATCATCTAGTTTGCACAAAAAAGATACAATAACAGAAATAAATTGTCCATGGTGACAAACTAGATTTTCCACTGTATCAACATTATCAAAGGCATTTCGTCTCTTACAAATGGACTACGTTCTTATATTAATTAGTCTTCTCTTTCTGTAAAAGAGAAGCGTAAGAAACTCACATATTATTATTAAATTGTTTCATGGGAATATCTCCCATGCTTTGAAAGTCATGCTTTGATAATGAAAATTACTGAAGAAGTCAAATGTCCTGCAGTTTTTCTTTCTTGTTCTCTTTATATTTATAGTGAATTTACTAACGTATAGTGTCTCGAAGAATTGCAAAGCCCTTAATAAATGAAATCTAAAAGGATTGTATAACTAATTAGAATGTTAATACGACGTTTTTCTGTTTAAGTGCCTATTTACCAAAAAATTCAAGTTACCCCAACGTAGATTTGGATCATAGAATCGTTCTTTTAATCCATCCTGGTTCAAAGATTATAAATGGCTTCATTATGACGAGCTAAAAGACTGTGTCAGATGTTTTACTTGCTCAAGTGAATATGCTAAATATTTGACCACCAACATGGCGGCTATGACGTAACATGCAATCCACATGCAATAAAGCAACGATTAGTTAAATGCAACGATATGTTTGATAAATATTTACGTAGTACAATTTGCATGAGTTGATGAACAACTCCAGTTTTCGGCAAAGCTAGCTTATGACTTATACCGACAAGGTAGTATATGCAGTCAAATTTGGGTATACATTCTAGCCGTAACCACCGTACAGCAGTTGGCCAGATTACCTATTTTTTAACAACTGTCATATAGTTGCTCATAAGGCTCACAACTGTAGAATGGATGATAAATACAACCCCAATAGTCTATATCAGAATTTTCCAATCCGTCCTACTGGGTGATTTATTTGTGTCTCAATATGATTTACAAATTTGGCCTGATGTTCCTCCCTTTGAGTATTATCAGTATCATGCTCACAACAACAACCCTTTTTGGCCACAGTTGGGAAACTAAGAACTCTTCTTTACAGCAAAACGGTCGTGAAGCCAAGAAGTAACAATTTAACGCGAAATGTCGAGAAAGAAGGTACATCCATCGCAATATAACTCCACAAATTTTAATAAAAATTCCCACTCTCCTGTTGGAAAAATTGCAGACAATTGTGACGAGATTGAAAATGTTAATGGCACCAAAGATGTTAGTGTCATGAATAGAAATATTACACTTGAAGCACATGGGACAAAACGTTTCTGTGTGGACTACCGCAAGCTAAATAAGATCAAACAACGACATTCTCATCCGATTCCGCACAAAACAAACATCCTTGACTGTCTGCATGCAGCTTCGTATTTTTCTTGCTTTCATCTGTGGCCCGGCTATTTGGCAGCTCAAAATTAAAAACTGCTTTGGCAACACATAGTGGCCTATATGCATTTTTTCCATTGCTTTTTGGGTTAGTAAACCCATCATCCACATTTCAACGCTTAATGCATACTGTCGCGCAATGTCTCCAATACCAAATTTATTTGGTTTATTTGATGGATATTATTATCTACTCACGCTCATTTGATGATCATCTTATCCATATCAACGATATTTTTGGTAGGCTCCATTCGTTAGATAGCAAACTAAAGCCCATTAAGTTTTCATTTTCCCGTTCTAGAGTTGTATATTGGGTCATGTTGTCCCTCCCAATTGTATTCGGCCAGATCCGAACAAAATAGCAGCCGTCAAAGATTTTTCCCCATCCCAATGCCGATGTGAGGTCAAAAGCTTTTATGGGCTAGGAAATTAATACCGTAGATATGTTTGGAACTTTGTAACTATATCTTTGACGTTAAATAATCTCACACATAAGAATGTAACTTTTTGTTGAGAATATGCGTTCGAAAAAGCATTTACTCTTTTAAACCAAGCCTTACTACGGTACTAATTTTAGCTTACTTAACGATTGTGTATGCCATTAATTAAAAAGAAGAAGAAAATAAACAAAATGTTTTGTTATATTCTGTTTTGATATAAATTTCCTAATCCCCTTATATGACAAAGTTTTCCTTTCTCTCTTGCTCATGTGACATTAATGAATCCGAGATGATGGGCTAGAAATTGTACAAACTAAGACGATGGTCTCATCAACTAAAGAAAAGTTGCAATTAAATCTCTAGTAATCTAAAACAATTTCACTTATTAGCATAACAATAAAATAATTAGAGCACGAGTAGAGACAACACTGATAAGCAGAACGTTTTCCAGAGAGCAGACATCGTAATAGGATCGATTCATCATTGCATTGAGAGGAGTTATTATTTTATATTATCCATAATACGATATTGAAAGCGTTCAACCTGAGCTAATTCCCTCACGGCCCAAAGATCCTGGTGAATATATTGTACAAAAGGCCGTGTAACTTTTTGGCATTCTCCTTTATTTTTACAATATCTATATAAAAATTGCTTCAATCTGCAGTAGTACTTGGATTAAAGGTTTTTCAAGTTCTCTTGCGCTTATTAATTTAACGAAAAATACGTACATTGTTGACTTTTCTAGAAGGTATCTCAGAAAAAAACCATACAGATTAATGTCATTTAAAATTTAAAATCTTTTTACTTGATAACATTCTTTTTTTAATTTTAGGGTAATTTTTTGTACATGGCCGATGTTAAAGAAACACCAGCATGTCTAAATTGCCCAAAGCTTATTTTTTATGGCATTCAGAAACAAACAGATCATATTTCGGAAATGCAAGAGTTTGAATATCTCGTTCTAAGACTGCATTCAGGCAACTGGCATTTTTTACTATTGCTATTCAAACTTTTAAAAATGTTTTTGCTAAAGTTTACCTGAGTAAAATGGTTGCCACGTATTGTTTTTCCATCGTCCAAAGTTCTCATTAAGACATTGACAAGTCTTTTTGCATTTTGTTTCATTTATTAGACTGCCTGTATTAATTACACAAAGTAGAAAGAATACATTAAAATAAGTAAAACTATTAAACGATTTATTCCAATTACTTTAAATCATGTACACAAAAACATTATCATAAAGGTCAAGTTAATGACAACTAATGTTGACTTTATTATTTTGAAATTAATTTATAAAATTATAAAAGTCATTAAAAGATCGAAGAAAACCAACTATCATCTTTTGCAAGAAAAAGAAAAAAAAAAACATAAACGAAGATGAAAGCAAAACGAAAACAAAATGAAAACAAAACTCTTTCAATATGACATTCTATGAAAATTAAATATCGTCAAATAAACATTAGAACAATTGAGATTTAGAGAAACACGTTGTTAAGAAAATGTTAATAAAAATCTTTGCAATGAATGTTAGAAGTTTTAAATTTCAACACATTAGAATTAGGTATGTTTTCTAGTTTAAATAGCAAATCAACAATCTTAAGAAAATTTAAGAATTGTATAAGTACCTGCTTGTCTTGTTGTGCATTTTTTAGAGTGTACTTTGAACTCAATATTATCTGCAGCCTCAAGACTTTCATGAATATGTTGAGTTACGTCCCCAATTATACCACTGCGTTGATTTCGGCCTTGACCGTTTCCTTTAAATTACATCATATTTTGAGTGGAGACTAAAACAAATTGATCTTTAGAGGAAGGGAATGAATTACTCTTGCAAGTTTCTTGATGCTGGCGTCTTATAAATTATATTGGAAAAATTAGTTTTGGAATATTAGTCGCCTCTTACGCAAAAGATTTTGGAAGGTTATGAAAGGTTGTGTGAAAGAACATGATAAAAATAAGATGATAGACTATTGGTAACAAGTACGTAAAGGCTTTTTATTAGAAAATATAAACCATTTCAATGTAAGTCATTGAACTGTAAATAATGTTATGTGTATGAAAGTAGAATCTCTTGCGTTCTCGTCTGTTCTAAACTAAAACTTCAGGTGTAAATATGAAGATATACTTCATAGAAAAAGAAGAGAAATTTACTTGTATACGAACGATGCACTATTTCATGTAACAACATGATACTGTCAAACTTAACACTAAAACTAACTAACCAAAATATTCAATAATCATGGTGATGTTTGTTTGTGAATGATAACTAATAATAGTGAAATAAAGCATTTATATCTTATTCTGGAGGTATCCAATTTTTTACCTTTATTATTTTTTGCTTCAAAGAGATTTTTGCTTGATAAATTTCTCATCCAAGCTTATAATTGATTTCTAATCTATTTTCAAGTTGCTAGCCAAGTGCTTGCTTGATTCTAAAGTGAGGATTGTATCGAAAGCGATCTGTACTATGTAGCTAAAATTGTTTTCAAAGACCAAAAGTGCTTGCATTTTTATACATGGAGTTATTAAATTTTTATATGCAAATATATAAACCGTTTTTTTGAATTGTATTCTGCATATTCCAATGCATAACACAAAAACGCATTAACACACATTTTAAATTCAAACTGTTTTAACTGATTGTTAGAACTTCTTTCTTCAGTAATAATTATTAAAGGCAAAGACCTATTTTTGGTCTTTTAATCAGTGTAAAATGAATGTAGTGATGTAAAATTTTATTTTCTTCAAAATATTTTTTACAACTCTGAACTACCTTTAAAGAATAATTTCTTAAATATCACTCAAATTTGAAAACCTTTCCGAATCAATAATGCCGCCAAAGAATTTTGCTAAAATAACCCCGTGACGAAACATTGAGTCATCATTTTATTGCATTTTATAAAATATAGATTTGATTAAAAACACCTGCCAAATTTTAACGAAAAATTCTATCATTATCCAGGTTTTTTTTTGTATTCAAACCTGCAATTTTACGGCCTCAAATAAAAAATTGGATTAAAAAACGGGACATTTATCCGATATGAAAACGTTGTTTACTTAAGGAAATTGTTCCAGTCACAACAATTAAGATTATAAAAAAACACAATGAAACGAGTGTGCTAATTGGTCTAGAGCTGTGTTTGCATAAGCCTGAGCAAATACATCTGTGCTCAACCAATTAAGTCAATCAAAACAATCAATCAGTCAAAGATAATTTGCAAATCATTCATGAAAACATTTTAGCGGAAAAATAAAAATATTTGTCTTTTTGCATTATTTTATTTTATAAGAGAACTAAAAGATGTTTTTCGTGTATGCACTGGCTTATGCAAGCCTCGTAGATGTTTGTGAGAGCCACCGAGCATTTGCAACCTCAACCTCCAGTCTCGGGAATGCACTGATCTGCTCTCAACTTCCTTAAAGGCTTCCTCCGTTTGCATAATCTTATGCAAACACAATAAACGTCTTTTATTTCTTAATTGAAATGCTGTGCGCTTGAGCCTCGTAATATGAAATTTAAAGATACTTTTCTGATTTTTGGCATTATATTTTGTAAATTATGACATTTGACAAAAGTTTAGAAACAAATGTAGACTCCAAATCGTCTTCCGAGCCGTCTCTTAGCGCAAACACAGACGAAGAAAAATTTGGTGAAGCTTGCGTTTTTTTTATGAAACTTGTAGGCTACAGCTACTTGTATGGAGCATATGGAATATTAACAACAGTTAATTACACGTACAAAAGTAAGAGGAAGAATTAAAAACTATGTTTACAATTATCTGCAAAGAAACCAACCAATACTTGGTAATTTTGTCTGTATATAGAGTCAATTGTACGGTGTTTTGCTGAGTGTTCTGTATATTATTGTATAAATACTAGAGTGCTTACAAGCTTTGTACGTGTATAAAATGGGGCAACAGGAACTTAGAATATGAAGCATAGCGAGTGTCTTTGTTATTTTAAAAACTGTGCCATACAAAGAAAAATGATGGTGGAGAAAATGGATGGGAGATGTTTCATTGAGCACCCTGCCTTGGAACAAGTATGTTTGAAAATTAATTTGGATTCTGAAAACTTCTGGTTGAAATTGTAAAACAAACTCCAAAAGATGCAAGAACTACACAATCTTTTTAGTAAAAGGAGAAAAGCTGAATTCAAGTATATAATCAGAGGCAAGGTATTGAATTTGCTTTTCGGTAATATATGTAACAAATAGTATATAAAAGACTAGTAGTCAGGACATTAGGGCTACATTAATAGACTAGTGGTCAGGCTACAGTGGAAGTTAAATACTATTAGTTTGAACATGACTCAGACATATAATTAAAATTTGTCTATATTGGGTGGGTATACTTACTGAATTTTTTTAGTCGAATTGAATGCAATGTGTCTTTTAGTGACACAGAAAATGTTAATTATAGGTCAGAACCATTATACTATTTTTTATTATTTTTGCACATACTCGATAAAGGATGTGAGTGCCTTTTTAAACTCCTAGTGTAGTCCCAACCTAACCCGACCACTAGATATGCAAAAGCCCTAAAAAAGTCTTTAAAAATCCTACATTAGCCGCTTTAAATAGTATTTGCTACTTATAACACCAAGAAGTAAGTTTAATACCTTGCCTCAGATTACATAATTGAATTCTGTTTCTTTCCTTATGTTTCTTCCATTGTTTTATGATTCAAACATGCAGTTTTGAGCAACAAAATTAATATTTGAAACATACTTGTTCAAAAGAGAGATATACTTATATCCTTTTAAAGAAGACACGATCTATCGAAGCGGTTTATTTTTTTTGCCTTTCCACCGAATTCCCCTTTCAAAACTTATACTACAAAGAAAGCCCATTAGATGAGAGAAGAATTAACACACAAGAATTAAGCAAAAATACCCTCCCACACCAAGCTGCATAAGAAAGTGTTTCTACAAAATTCACACACACGCTGCACCATCGAAGAAACCAATAAAACAGAATATACCAACACGTACTCCACGTTTATGAAAAATAACTAGCCCAATTGTGAATATTATCACACTGCACACGTAAACAATTAGTTGAAGCTGGAAAAGAAAACAAAGACTTGCACAGCTTGCAGGAAGAAGGGAGTTGTTGGAAATGGGAGCTATATATAGTCTGGCAAATTTTCTCGCCAAACAAAATTTCAATTGCAAAATACTTTCAATTACATAATTTTTCATGGCATCCATGTCAGGTTATAAATACACAATGGTAATATGCGTTTCCCTAACAATCTTGGAAAACTTTTGAAGAGTGCGCTTTGTTGATGGAAAAGATGCAAGGACCTCGACTTAGATGTTGCACGTCAATGTTTTAAACAGATTCAACATGCTTCCAATCAGTGAATAATAAACAATTGGTCAGTTGTATGAAGATTGCCTTACGGCGTAAAACTCCGAGTAGAATCAGCAAAATATTGTTGATTTTATTTTATTTTATTTGAAAAAATTCACGAAAAATACAGATTCATCCAGAAAAGCCTGCTTAGAGATTGCTTATAGGGGATCTTCTTCAGGGGATCTTTCCCTGAAGTTTAAAGTCTATAAGTTTAAATATTGGTAATCCAGGCATTTAATATATAAAAATGAAAGATTCTCCGGATTGTGTGAAATGGTTTTTTTTGAGCTCTTGACTCGTTGCTTCGAGCTTTCATCAAAATGAGGAAATATTATTTAAACATGCTTTTAGCTTCTAGACACTTAGAGCGTCTATTTAGATTAGCAGGTGGATTAATGTGATTGGATCAGTCACAAACAACACAAACATCGGACTATGGAAATAATATGTCGACGACATATTTTGCATAGTCAAGAAAGACAAAACTTAGTTAATCCTACACACCATAAACAATACCACAAAAAACAAAACCTTCACTAGAGACGAAGAGCACGACAAACAACTTACTTTCCTCGACATCCAAATAACCAGAACAGATGAAGGTACACTAAATATACAAGTATATCGCAAAACCACCCACACATACCAAATACTCGATTTCAACAGCAATCACCCAACAAAATACAAAATAAGCTACATTTTAACACATTTTAACAGGATAAACAATCATTGTAACACTGAAGATGCCAAGAAAACAGAACGCAACTACGTATAATACACATTTATTAAAAATATTTACCCTAGAAACTTCATAAACAAAACAATAAACAAAATACAAAACAAAATACAAGCCGACAAAAGCAACAAGAAAATGGAGGAAACAGTAAAACTCGTCACATTACCATACATAAATGGAACAGCAGAACTGATTGCCAGATTTCTTCGACCATTTAATATTAACGTCGCCCACAAACCTACACAAAAACTCAAATTGTGTTTCACCAAACATAAAGACAAAACATTAATTTATGATACAACTGACGCAATCCACATGATATCATGTAAAGACAGCTCATAGTAATACATAGGACAAGCATCAAACAAAATCGAAACTAGACTCACAGAACACAAAAACGCCATAAAACGACGAGATCCAAACTCACTACCGGCAGAACATACCCACGGAAACAACCACAAATTCGACTGCACGGAAACTAAACTACACGGACGCGCACATATTAAACACGTACTCGAATTTAAAGAAGCTTGGAACGGTGGGACAACGACACAATAAACAGACATATTGACATACCCATCATATACTCACAACTGAAGAAAAAGGACAAAGGAACTAAAAACAGCACCAAAACCACAACATAACACTCTATTAATATTAAC